CTCCAGGCCTGGGCCTCTTCCCTCACTCTGTCCCAGCTCAGTTCTCACACTGACTCACTGTGTCATCTGCACTTGAGGCAGCTTTTGTATTGGTACACTTCCACAGAGCCTGCCCATCCTAAGTCTTTGGGAAAAGGAGGACAGATGAATGACGGCAGCAGCCCTGACTGAGTGCTGTGAATGCTCTGGGTGTGGCCATCCCTTTCAAGATGAGCCGGCAGTCTGGCTGGGATCTGGGTTCTGCTGCAGATTGCTGGCCAGGGAATACTCCCTCCATGCCAGTATGTTTTTTTAGATGCCATTGAAGTACATTCCTTGGCCTTTGGTAACACAGGTCAGCCAGGTATTCTATTGCCCACACTGCTGAGTAGATTTCCTTTCTTTCTCTTTCTTTCTTTCTTTCTTTCTTTCTTTCTTTCTTTCTTTCTTTCTTTCTTTCTTTCTTTCTTTCTCTCTCTCTCTCTCTCTCTCTCTCTCTCTCTCTCTCTCTCTCTCTCTCTCTTTTTGTTTTTGTTTTTGTTTTTCAAGACAGGGTTTCTCTGCGTAGCTTTGCGCCTTTCCTGGAGCTCACTCTGTAGACCAGGCTGGCCTCGAACTCACAGAGATCCGCCTGGCTCTGCCTCCCAGTGCTGGGATTAAAGGCATGAGCCACCACCGCCCGGCAAGATTTCCTTTTTATAAGGTTGCTGTCTGCCCAAGGTCATGTCCTGGATGTTCATTTCTTTTGATCCTTTGCAGGAATTAATGTGGTTCTCTCTCTTCCCTGTCTACATAGCTGTGAGCACTCTCACCGAGTCAACTTTGAAGAATGTCCCTCAAGTGGTAAATGTCCAAGAACTAAAGAGTAATCCTACAACTCCTTCTGTGGTCATGAGGTATGTCCCGGCTCTTCTGTGTGTTCATCCCACAGTGTGCTGTCATGGAGGCACTTTGCCTGAAGGGAGCACTGCTATCACATGTGACTTTTCTCCCTGTGGAGGAATGGACAGCCACAACTAAGTTTTTAGGAAGGCAATTTTTCACCTTGCCAGAAATTGGATGCAGACTATGGTCTATGAATATTTTGCTGGGTGCAGAGTTGCATGGGCACCCACTAAGCTATAAGTCAGGTGTAAAGATTGCTATATCCACGGTGTTTTTTTTGTTTTGTTTTGTTTTTTTTTTTATGTTCTGTTTTTTTTTTTTTATGTTCTCAGGGTTCCAAAATTGATATTTCAAGTACTAGTGACCAATGCATAATGAAAGTGGTGTGGAGAGTGACAGTGCCCTCCCTGACTTCCTCTCCCAGCACTTGAATTCTCTTAAGTTAGCTTGTCTTAAGAAGGAACAGGGAAGCCGGGCTGTGGTGGCGCACGCCTTTAATCCCAGCACTTGGGAGGCAGAGGCAGGTGGATCTTTGTGAGTTCGAGGCTAGCCTGGGCTACCAAGTGAGTTCCAGGAAAGGCGCAAAGCTACACAGAGAAACCCTGTC